TATCTTTAATGAATCTGCTATGTTACATGATGTTTCATCTACTAATGTTCCCGTTGAGAGTGAACAGCAGCCTATTGTTCAGGAGCCTACTGTTCAGATGGAGCATGTTATTGATTCAGGTGATACATCTGGTAATGAAATTGTTGATGCACATGATGAACCCGTCGTTAATGATGATAATGTCACTCCCACTCCAAATCAGCCTATTGTTCCACCTAGTTGGAATCTTGCACGTGACAGAGTTAGGCGGGGTACTAACAAACCTGACAGGTTAATTGAAGAGTGCAATATTGTTTCTTTTGCTTTATCTGTTGCAGAAGAAATTGAAGGTAATGCTGAGCCTTCTTCATATGCCGAGGCAACTATTTCTAGTGATAGTAATAAGTGGATGACCGCTATGCATGATGAGATGGAATCACTTGAAAAGAATGGCACTTGGGATTTAGTAAAATTGCCTAGAGAGAAGAAACCTATTCGTTGCAAGTGGGTTTTCAAGAGGAAAGAAGGTGTTTCTCCTAATGATGAGACAAGATATAAAGCAAGGTTAGTTGCTAAAGGTTATAGCCAGATTCCAGGTATTGACTATAACGAAGTCTTTTCTCCTGTTGTGAAGTATAGCTCTATTCGCACTTTACTCAGTATTGTTGCCATGCATGATCTTGAGCTTGAACAATTGGATGTTAAAACTGCATTCTTACATGGAGAATTAGAAGAGGATATTTATATGGAACAACCTGAAGGTTTTGTTATTCCTGGAAAAGAAAAGCTTGTCTGCAAGTTAAAGAAATCTATGTATGGATTGAAGCAATCCCCTAGACAGTGGTACAAGAGATTTGACACCTTTATGCTCTCTCAAGGTTTCAAAAGGTCTAATTATGATAGTTGTGTTTATTTGAAAATTGTCAATGGTTCAACTATTTATTTGCTCCTTTATGTTGATGATATGCTTATTGCTGCAAAGAGTATGTCAGAGATTGATGAACTAAAGAAGCAATTGAGTAATGAATTTGAGATGAAGGATTTGGGTGCAGCAAAGAAAATTCTTGGCATGGAAATATCCAGAGATAGACTGTATGGAAAAGTATATTTAAGTCAGAATGGATATATTGATTAAGTTCTTCGTCGCTTTAATATGCATAATGCCAAGCCGGTGAGTACACCATTAGCTGCACACTTCAAATTGTCATCAGCTTTATGTCATAAGTCAGATTCCGATATTGAGTACATGTCTAGAGTTTCCTATTCAAGTGCAGTTGGTTCACTTATGTACGCCATGGTTTGTTCTCGTCCTGACTTATCATATGCATTGAGTGTTGTTAGTAGATACATGGCTAATCCTGGAAAAGAGCATTGGAAAGCAGTTCAGTGGATTTTCAGATACCTGCATGGTACTTCTAATGCTTATTTACGGTTTGGGAAAACTGGAGATGGACTTGTTGGTTTTGTTGATTCTGATTTTGCTGGTGATTTGGATAAGAGAAGATCGCTCACAGGTTATGTTTTCACCATTGGTGGTTGTGCTGTGAGTTGGAGAGCAACTTTGCAGTCTATTGTGGCTTGTTCCACTACTGATGCCGAGTATATTGCTATTTCTGAGGCATGCAAAGAAGCTATCTGGTTGAGAGGTTTGTACACTGAGCTTTGTGGAGATTCATCTTGCCCTACCATATTTTCTGACAGTCAAAGTGCCATATATCTTACAAAGAATCCAATGTATCATGAGAGGACAAAGCACATTGATGTTAGATTTCACTATATTCGAGATGTTGTTGCTGAAGGTGATTTGAAGGTATGCAAGATAAGTACTCATGATAATCCTGCTGATATGGTGACAAAGCCAGTTCCTACCAATAAGTTTGAGCTTTGCTCAGGCTTAGTTGGTATTTCTCACTAGTCCGATGGACTTTGATGCACAAGGTGTTTATGCTCATTTGGATGGAGTTATTCACTTTATTCGACTACTGGAGGGAATTTGGATCAAGGTGGAGATTGTTAAATTATGATCTAAATTCTAGTACCGTGTTGGACTAGACGTAGTATAAACGGTGTGGGCCTTTGCGTTGACGTCGACGCGTACGAGTACAACTCATTTACTTGTCCTTCAAGGACTCTCATGTATTGCCCTCTTATATACCCCATGTAGTCGCACTTCAGACGGTCTGTCGTCTCGTGCTTGTAATACTCCTCCATTATAATGATTGCGCCTTCGTGCGTTCGTGGTTTTCTCCCGCAAGGGTTTCCACGTAAAAATTCGTGTCTCTCTATCTCGTTTATTTCTCGTTATTATCTAACAAAATGCAAAAAAGCATAACTTTTCAATTATGAAAGCATATTGAAACTGTACCTTATCAGCAAGGTCGTAGACCAACTTAAGAGTCTTCACCATATTTTCCCGGAAGGAGTGTATCAATTTCAGCAACACCGTCTTTCTCAAACAAATCTGTCATTATTGAAAGTGCACGCGGCCTTATGGCAATTTGATTTTCCCCAAAGCCACATGTTCCCTAGAAGGAGAAATGATAAACAATCAGACAGAAAAAGGCACTAAAAAATTGACTGGCTATTTATTTATGGAAGATGCTTCTGAATCTAGATACAGCCATTTCTACGACAAGTAATTTCGAACGGAGGGAGTACCGTAACAACACCGTGTGCAATATAATGGTTCATTAATTCATAGTACCTTGGGAACTTTCGGCAATCTAATCTCCTCCTCGATCGCTAACTCACTGCTCTTGGTAGCTTTCTTCGCTTTTCCTGTACTGCAGGGGGCTCCAGTTTCGGAGCAAACAACAGTCCAGCCCATAGCTTGGGAGGTTCCCCAATCTCAATCTGTAACCACTGCAGAATCCACGCGAAGAAGCAACTTGGTGCCCTTTCCGTCAGTAGCATGATCCGATCCCTAAGCAACATTAGCACAGAAGCAGTACCGAGCGACGCTGGGGTTGCACATCGACTGCACCTACCAGTACAAGCTGGACGGCCAGTGGCATCAGGGCCTCCTCCGCCGCCTCGCCCGTGCCAGCAGCATCAAAGTCTCCTCCTTGGCTTCGCATGCAGGCCACATCCTTGTTCCCGACCATCAGTACCGGAGCTCATCGCTCACCCAGGCGTGGATGGCCCGCGCACGGCGGGCACCTTGGCTGGGAGAGCGAGACCGCCGTAGGGGCGCCGGCCGCTGCATGGTTGGAGGACCCTAGAAGGAGCCTCCGGAGGTCGGCCCTGTCCTTGGAGGCAGCGGGCGCTTCGGGGACAGCCCAGGCGCGCGTCCTCGCATTAGAGCGTGGCGACGACGTCGAGAGGGGTCGCGCGGTAGTCGAAGACCGCGGCAATGTCGAGGGCCGCCAGTGCAGACGCCGCGGCAACGGTGGCCTAGTCGCTGGTGAGCGCGCCGGTGTCGAGTGACCCAGCGGCGAGGGCGTGGGCCTTCTTTTTTTTTCTTTGCGAGGAGGACGAGTGCAGGAGAGAAGCAGGCGGAGTCGGCCACCGTGAGGAGGAGCTTGTGCCACGGCAGCGGAGCTGGCGCAGGGGTTTGGTCCCGTGAAGGAGAGGAGCAGCTAGCAGCAGGGGTGGATGAGGATGGTGCGCCTTCTACTTCTTGTGAAATTTTCCACAGAGATAATTCTACTGCAAGTCTACAAGATAGTCTGGGCTGTTTGTGTGAAGAAATCTGTTAGTGTATTGTTACTAAGCTCTAGGTACTCTAAATTCAACAACCAACCTATCCTGCTGAAATTTGCCCAGAAAGTTGGTTCTGGCCAATTTATAAAGTTTTGTTAGACAGCGAAGGCTATTTGGGATGGGACCTGCTAGTGCATTATTTCCGAGAGACAACTCGTCTAAGTTGACCAAATAACCTAATTCTCGGGGAATGTGACCGGAAAGTTGGTTATTGTCGAGATACAATTTAGTGATTTCTGTGAGATTGCCTAGGTTGTTTGGAATGGAGCCTGTTAGTGTGTTGTACCTAAGATACAGGTAGTCTAAGTTGACTAAATAACCTAGTTCTCGAGGGATGTGTCCAGAAACTTGGTTATTCTGAAGGTTCAAATATGTGAGTTTGGTCAAATTTCCTATGCTACTTGGGATGGAACCTGTTAGTGTGTTGTTTCTAAGCACCAACAGCTCTAAGTTCTCAAGGCGACCTAGTTCTCGAGGGATGTGTCCGGAAATATGGTTGCTGTAAAGGAACAACCATGTGAGTTTGGTCGAATTTTCTATGCTCTTTGGGATGGAACCAGTTAGTGTATTGTTGCCAAGATTCAAGAACTCTAAGTTCTTAAGGCGACCTAGTTCTTGAGGGATGCGTCCAGAAATTTGGTTCATGGAAAGAAATAAGTTAGTGAGTTTTGTCAAATTTCCTATGCTATTTGGGATCAAACCTGTTAGTGTGTTGTTGCTAAGCAAGAAATTCTCTAAGTTCTCGAGATAACCTAGTTCTCGTGGGATGTGCCCACAAAGTTGGTTGTTGTAAAGGTACAAGCTTGTGAGTTTGGTCAAATTTCCTATGCTATTTGGGATGGAACCCGAGAATATGTTTTCACTAAGATCCAGGTACTCTAAGTTCGCAAGGTAATCTAACTCTTGTGGAATTAACCCAGAAAGTTGGTTGTTGTTAAGGCACAAGGTTGTGAGTTTCGTCAAATTTCTTATACTATTTGGGATGGAACCCGAGAGTATGTTTTCACTAAGATCCAGGTACTCTAAGGTCGAAAGGTAATCTATTTTTGGTGGAATTAGCCCAGAAAGTTTGTTTAGCCGTAGAATTAACACGGTGAGCTTGGTTAAATTATGAAAAATTCGTGGAATGAAACCTGAGAGTGTGTTGATGCCAAGTTGCAGGTCCTTTAAGTTAAGAAGATAACCTAGTTCTCGTGGAATTTTTCCAGAAAGTTTGTTACTGTAAAGGTACAAGCTAGTGAGTTCGGTCAAACCACCTATGCTGCTTGGTATTTTACCGAAAAGATTATTACTGGACAAATCTAATGCAACTAAGTGCTTCATGTTCCTATTTCACAAGGGATATGACCAACCAAGTGATTGCTTGACAAGTTGAGGGTGACAAGACTACTCATGTTGCCTATCTGGCTTGGTATTTCACCGGAGAGTTCATTTTCATGAAGCATTAAGGAATACAATTTTGTGAGATTTCCTAGACCTAGTGGGATTGAGCCTCTTATCTGGTTGCCTTGCAGAAGAAGAGCATGGAGCTCGCGAAGGACCTCGATACTAGGAGGAATGCTCCCAGTGAGGAGGTTGTGTGAGAGGTCAAGGCGTGTCAAGGTCCTCAAGGCCGAGAAGTTGAGGGACTCCAGAGCCCCTCTGAGCCGCATACCCCGCAGAGAGATGCCGCTGATCACTGGCCAATGCTGGTGTCGCTGCACACCGGTATCACAACTGATGCCGCGCCAGTTGCAAGGCGTCGATGTGTTTCCCCAGGAGTGCAGGGCTTGATGGCTTTGGTTGTCGAGGCTATCTTTCCAGATGAGGAGTGCTCTTGCTTGTCCTTTGAGCACCGCTGCATCCGCCGCAAGTGTCATGGAGGTGGCCATCATCGTCATTAGTATGGTCATGGTGAGAGAGGCAAGCATTTTGGGTGGTACATCCATCTCCATGACTAGCTAGTTAGGCTAGATGGAATTGGTTATGGTTTTTATTCTGAGAAGTAATGGCAGCACATTAAATAGTGGAGCACACATCTGTCGATATGTTAACGGATTATACATGTTAAAGAAGAGAACAACCGTGGCCATGGTAGTCTGCAGAACTTGCCATGCTTGATGGAGTAGGCATGAGAGTTACGGTCAGCTCCAGCTAATTAATGGTCAAGTCATTCGTGTTGGAACCATGTGCATACTGATTTGCGGATGGCTGAGTTGCATCTCTCACACGGCACAGCGATGTTGTACTAGCTTCCAAACATTCGATGGATACATAGACCAAACCAGGCAGCAGAACCCAACGTCGCTCTTGTTGCTTAACCCAGCTGACAACGGAAAACTATAAATTGTACTACAGACTTTGAAGCATCCAACACTAAGATAATACTCCCTCTCTCTCATGTATACTAGTTTGTAAAGCCGATCCTCGGTCAAGTGTATGATGCGGTTTAACAAGATTATGAATTATTCAAGACTAAAATAATGTCTGTAAAAGATTTGCAGTCAGCCAGTATATATGATGCGGATATACGCAAACCTTCCCGATTTTCTGCTTCCGGGAGAAGCACGACCAATTGGTAATTTTACCAAGTACTCTAGCTACTTTATTACTCGGATATAATGGAGTGTCTAAAATTACATAAGCGTCTTCATGAAGCAGAATGATGCAGCGCCACGATGTTTTTTCGCGCACAACGACGGTGAAGTCGTGAACACAACCATGCCACCTTTGTCCATATGTTAACGGAATACATGTCAAATACTCCCTCCGTCCTAAAATACTTGTCATCAAAATGGATAAAAAGGAATGTATCTAGAACTAATATACATCTAGATACATCCCCTTCTATTCATTTTGATGACAAGTATTTCCGGACGGAGGAGTAATAGAATAATTGATCAACCTTGGCCATGCAAGTCTGACGGGGAGAGTGTTATACATGAGAGTTACGGCCAGCTCGAGCTAGCGGTCAAGTCTTTCGTGGATGGCTGTGTTGCACCCTCGGACGGCAATGCTGTACATAGAGTATTGAAACACTTTGATTTGCTGGCATAACCAAAATATCTGACAGCAACTAAAAGCTAGATTAATTTTCTGCAGATGTACAAAAAATACATAAAGCTACACAGGCTGCTGCCAAGTGCTTAGCATGACGGAGATGATTTAACGGGAAAATGGTCAAAACTGAGAAACGCCAAAAATTAGGGATAAAACTGATTAGTGAGACACCCGCAAAAAAGAACTAAGGGCAGAAATGTAGAACTTCCTAAAATAGAATCATCAGGGCAATTCCAAATTGCCCAACAAAGAGTGTGCACCCCACCTGGATTTGTGCCTTGAGGTTTGGGGTCAACCCAGCTAACCAAGGCTGTGTTCGGTAGCCCTTCACTCCTCCACTCTGGAGCGGAGCACGCGGAGCACCATATTTAGCAGCTCCCCAAATTAACAATGCATGTTGCTCCGCTCCAGAGCGGAGTTGGAGAGCAGGAGGGAGTCCGAACAGGTTCCAATTACTGAACATATTTGTGATGCTCCTTGGTGGAGGTAATAAATTAATATGCAACTTGAACAGTCAATACTGGCACTTAAGCCTTTCATGACAGGCCCGTTCATGCCCGTCGGTGGAGACCCCCGTGCTACGGTCGTACTTAACATAATACTAGCATGAATCTCTCATCTCTTTGGAAAAGAAAATAACTGAACATTTGAACCATTCTGGATGTGGATGGTGTGCCTTGGGTGAAGTAGATTCGGCGCCGTAGATCGAGTATCACACAGTCTGGTGTGTATTATACTTGTTAAGAAGAAAGAGAGGATAGATTATATTGCAGCCGCCATCACGCAGTCGGCGCCGTGGTCAGAAGGAGGAAGATTTTTTCTGTCAGGCCACGAGTCAAGTGGAGTCGACCTAACGCCTGAAACGGGCCTGAAGCTACAACCAAATATCCAGAGCTCATAAAACAGAGCAAAAGCAGAGAAAGGGACTTGCAAATATTCAGAGTTGACAAAACAGAACAAGAGTAGAGGAGTCAAACTACAGGTAAGCAGAGTTGAGAAAACAGAGCAAAAGGTGAGGTTCTGACAGAATGAATTGATGGCATCCATCATCAAGGGGCCTCTGGCAAGTAAGCTTCACAACTCAAGTACGTACATAAATAGAACATCAGTGTGCACTTAGAAATTGAGCACAAGGGCCACAAGCGCTCCTCAGGTTCTCTAGCACTACACAATATACACTCAGCTCTCCCTTTCCAACCTCTTCTGCTAAGAGCAACTCTAGCAGACCCCGCATCCGTCCCCAACCCGCAAAATAACCGCCAAAATGCGGGTACGGGCCGGAAAGTCTGCCCGACCAGACCCGCATCCCGCCCCGGCCCGCAAAAATTTTTAGGGGGCGCGGCAAATTTCCGGCCCCAACCCGGGAAAACACGGGTTTCCCCCTCGCGGTTGTGGTGCCCTGCATCACAGAGAAGCAGTTGGCGGAAGGGACATTTCAGCCCGCGCTCTTTTCCCCATTCCTTCCGCAGCCGCCCGCCCTTGCTTCCGCCCGCCCGCCGTCGGTGATTCCAGCCATATCTGCGGGCGGAATCGCTCCGCGGGGCCGCCCCACACCCTCCCGCGTCGAGCCGCTGCACCGCCCCTCCGGATCCGGCGAGAAGAGCCGCCCCCAGTCGCCGCCGCCGCTGGGATCGACCACCGCCGAGCGCACCACCCTCGTCGCCGCCCCCGGATCACTCGCCACCGGTTAGTCCCTTTTTTGTGATTTTCGTGAGCTGTATAGTAGATTGACGTGCCGGCGTGTGTGTAGACGGATTTGACCCCGTGCGAGAAGTTCTTGCTATCCGATTCATCCGATTCGGACAACTCGGATGTGGAGACCATGCTTGCGACCTTTCGGCAGCAAACATTGGTCATGGCGTTTGCCATGAAGGAGCATGAATACAAGTACCAAAAGAGGAGGCGAGGATCTACTGTCGGGCGTCTGTGCATTCCGCGGAAACGAGATGTTGATGCAAGATTATTTTTCGGCGAATCCTACATATCCTGCACACCTCTTCCGCAGAAGGTACCGAATCCGCCGATCCCTTTTTGTGAAAATTGTTGAAGCTTGCGAGGCAAATTGCCGATATTTCACTAAGAGAAGGACTGCCGCGGGCTTAAAGGGATTTAGTGCGTATCAAAAAATCTCCGCAGCTATGCGGGTGATTGCATATGGCGTTCCGGCTGACTATGTCGATGAGTATCTTCGCATTGGTGAAGATAGCACAATTGAGTCTGTGCGTAGATTTGCTAAAGTGATCGTCCGTGTCTTTGGTCCCGAGTATCTTCTGGCACCAAATGAAGATGGCACAAAGAAATTGATGGCAGCTAATGAGGGGAGAGGTTGGCCTGGGATGTTAGGTAGTATTGATTGTACGCATTGGAATTGGAAAAATTGCCCCAAGGCTTGGCAAGGAATGTATTGTGGCAAGTCTCGTGATGCAACAATTGTGCTAGAGGCCGTAGCATCCGAGGATTTATGGATTTGGCATTGCTTTTTTTGGTATGCCCGGCACACTCAATGATATCAATGTGTTGCAACGCTCTCATTTATTTGCTAGGTTTGCTAATGGTGATGCTCCTGCTTGCAACTACACTATCAATGGGCATGAATACACAAAGGGGTACTATCTTGCAGATGGCATATATCCTCCTTGGTGCACATTTGTCAAGAGCATCAAAGAACCCAAAACAAAAAAACAATGTGAATTTGCAAGGGTGCAAGAGGCATCCCGAAAAGATATTGAAAGAGCATTTGGTGTTTTGCAATCTAGGTTTGTCATTGTCCGAGGTCCTGCTCGTTTTTGGGATAAGAAAACCCCGAAGAACATCATGACTTGTTGTGTTATCCTGCATAATATGATTCTTGAAGATGAGAGAGGAATGGACTTAGAATTATTTTACGATAATGTGGGTAGCCATGTCAAACCAACTAGAGACCCAAACCATATTAGAGCTTTTCTTCAGACATACAGGAAGATTGAAAATGCGGACACACACTTTCAACTTGAGAAAGATCTCATTGAGCACCATTGGCAAAGGGCTGGGCAGTGACTAATTTTTATATTCATTTGTATTTGTATTCATGACAAGTTTTGTATTGCATTATTTTAAGTTTCCTATGGTGATTTGAATAATTATTTGTAATGATTATTGTTTTATGTTTGATTTGAATAATTCAGTTTGTTTTCAATTGTTGAATTATGTTGGATTTGAGATTTGCGGGCTGATGTGTAACGCCCCGGATACAACTTTCCATATTCGTAACTCCGACTCTTGCCTTTTCCGGAGATGCTATATGATTTTTCCTTCGTGGTTGGGTTTTTGTCTTTTGTTTTGCATTTTGTTCATGTCTTGCATTTCATCGTCGCATCATTCGCATTGCATTGGCACTCTGTTGCCATCATTGTTTTCAAACTTGCATCCGTTCGTGTTCCGCCGGTTCTCTCCGTTGTCCGTTTCAAACTTGCATCCGTTCGTGTTCTGCCGGTTCTCTCCGTTGTCCGTTCTAAGCCCGACCACACTCGCACGCGCCCGCGGCACCTCCGAAATATTATTTTATAAGTGGCATAAAAATGTTCTCGGAATGGGTTGCAACTTGTCTTGCGGTCTTATTATAGTGTAGACAGGCTGCCTGTCAAGTTTCGTCGCATTCGGAGTCCGTTTGATAGCCCAACCGTCATCCGTAGCGGCACCGTTGTCGGTTTAATCGTCGGACGTTTCGGCTTTTGAAACTACCGCCGGGCCTTTCTCTCTCTTCTCTCCTCTCGGCCCAAGCCTCTCTCTCGCACAGCCCACTAGCCACCTAGTCCCCCCCTCTGTCCGGAGCCGTCCGATGTCGATCTGAGGCCCCGAAAGCCCCCAATTCCCCCTAACCTAGCCCCTCCTACCTATAAATAGACCCCCTCATGCC